ATGTAAGCCCAAGAGTTTGAGGTTGCTATGAGCTACGATGCCACAGCACTCTACCAAGGGCCACACAGTGAGACTTTGTCTCAAAAAAAAAAAAAAATTAGCAATAGAACAAAATATCCTAGAGAAAGCACTTACATTCTGCAAGTAGAAAGAAAATTTACAATTATAGTAGAATCTCCATAGGTGATCACCTCCATAAGTTGACCTAATTATCATAGACTGGCCATGCATCACATGTACACATCAGTACACAAGGCCTAGTTCCTTATGTTGACCACCTCCATTTGCTGACCAGTTTGTTACAATCCCTTGGGTTTGTTGACCCTTGGGTCAACTTAAAGAGGTCCTGCTGCATTAAGACAAAAAGTGTGAATGAAAAGACCAAAATATGGTCGGGTGCTGTGGCTCATACATGTAATCCTAGCACTCTGGGAGGCTGAGGCCAGTGGATCCCTTGAGCTCAGGAATTTGAGACCAGCCTGAGCAAGAGCCAGACCCTGTCTCTACTAAAAAATAGAACAATTAGCTCGGTGTGTGGTGGGCGCCTGTAGTCTCAGCTACTCAGGAGGCTGAGGCAAGAGGATCGCTTGAGCCCAATTGTTTGAGGTCACTGTGAGCTATGATACCATAGCACTCAGGGTGACAGAATGAGACTGTCTCAACAACAACAACAAAAAGTCCAAAATATAAGATAAGATACTCCAGAGGGAGAGGGGGAGAAGGCTGTATACTTTCATTACCTTTAAACTTGACATATATTTCAAAGAAATAAAACATATAGTAAAGCTAAAAAAAATAGGTTAATTAAAAAGGTAAAATACACTATACATACAGAAGATAAACTGGGCAATACGTCACACAAAAATCAGAGTACAGATACAGGAAAACCTACGTATAGTTGGATTCAGCTGTAAAGCATAATAAAGAAATTTTAAGTCCACTTGAAAAGTTACACATTTCAGATTAATTTTATGAGATCCAAAGATAAAAGATTTTTAAACTTATATATATATACATACATAAATATATATACTTCACACAAAAAAGCTATTTGTAAATTACTAGAAATTGAAAATTGATGAAAAGAAAGTCAGCACAGCGAGTAAACTAAAAGAAAGACAATTTACACCAAAAGAACAGAATAAAGGGAAGAAACAGAAAATGCCAAAAGCACTATTTATAAGGTTTCACAAGGTTTCTGTCAATAGGAAAATGTATAATACATTAGAAAGAGTCCCATCAGATAGTTAAAAACTAGATACGAGTCCCACCAAATAGTTAAATACTATCTGGTGCCTAAAAGTTTCAGTTATTTCATCACTTCATTATACCAACACTGCCAGTTAATTGAGGCATTACTATAAGAATCTGACCACACTGGCTTAGCGCCTACAGCTTGGCGGCTAGGGCACTGGCCACATACACCAAAGCTGGCAGGTCTGAACCTGGCCCAGGGCCTGCCAAACAATGACACAACAACAATAACAACAACAACAAAATACTGGGGCATTTTGTCAGGCACCTGTAGTCCCAGCTACTTGGGAGGCCGAGGCAAGATAATCACTTAAGCCCAAGAGTTTGAGGTTGCTGTGAGCTGTGACATCACAGCGCTCTACCAAAGGTGACATAATGAGACTCTATCTCAAAAAAAAAAAAAAAAAAAAGAATCTGACCACATAAAAATATTTCTAACACAATGACAATGTAACCAGTATCTGTGGGGCCTATGGTCACCCCATAGACACTGGCTGATATTTCATTGTGTAGACAAACTAACTGGTATACTTGGTTATTGGGATAACCACTGAACTATACTGTTTATAGATTCTAACGTGTGCAGCACTAGACCTAAATCTCATACTTAAAGACCTTTACTCATATTATAATGAAGATTAACAGTTAAGTATATTACTTGATTTAATCATTTGGTCAAATCAGCACACTGACAGCTCAATTTGAAAAAAAGAAAAGTGAAAAAAAAAACTCCTATAGGAAGGAATTAGGTCTGTCATGACCTTCCAATGCAAGGGCAAGGTATGAACTGCTGGGTTGACCCTACCAGTCAACTGGTACACTGTGCTAGATGTACTATGTGTCTCACATTCCTCTAACAAGCCAGTAAAGCAGAAATGGTTCCCACTTTACAGATAAGAGAAGGACACAGTGTAATGAAGTGACTTGTGAGGATGAGCCAGAATTCAGATCTTCATACATCCCAAGCTGCACAGCAGTGTTCAGTCCACCACACCATGCAACACTCCCTAAGTTAGCAACAACCAAGTTGATTATATCCACACTATAAGCCACATGCTTGCAGACAAATCAATAAACTCAGAATGGAAGATTAAATCATCTGAAAATAAGCATCAAAAATGTATCACCAATTCTTGGCAATACTTGTAACTAAGCAATCACCAAAATATTTAATAAGTCGTCAACAATGTTTTTTCATCAAACACAATAATTTAAGCCCTTGAGAGGAAAGAGACACAACTTTCAGATTGTTTTTTTGGTAACAAGTGTATGTTTCCAAAATAAACATCTCAGACACTAAACAGTGTGGGAAAGAATAATTCCCTATGTAGTGGAATTTTCCCCACTGAACACACACACCAGTGCAAAGTACCCAATGGCTTTGCACAGTGCAGAATGGTGCTTGGGAAAAATGCATCTGCTGGTGACACTGACATACTTACCCTAAGGATTTCCTACCCAATGATGAGCAAAATTTTCCTCTCTACCAGCCAACAAACTCAACACTCTAATTCATGGCTTAGAAGGATATTTTTATTAAAACCTCTGCCCAAAAAGGGCAAAGTCACAGCTGAAACACATCTTGAAGTAACTACATTGCACCAACTAGAATCAATTTGTTAAAGGCAAAATTGAAGAATACACAGTAACAGTATGAGAATGCATCATCAGGCTCCGTGCCTGTAGCACAGTGGTTGCGGCGTTGGCCACGTACACCAAGGCTGAGAGTTTGAACCTGGCCAGGGCCAGCTAAACAACAATAACAACTGAAACAACAACAACAAAAGAAAACAGCTGGGCATTGTGGCAGGCACCTATAGTCCCAGCTACTTGGGAGGCTGAAGACAAGAGAATTGCTTAAGCCCAAGAGTCTGAGGTTGCTGTGAGCTGTGACACCACAGTACTCTACTGAGGGTATCATAGAGAGACTCTGTCTCAA